TACTTGATGGGCTAATCTTGCATCTGCCCACAGTCCCGGTGTTTTTATAAGGTGGCTTGGCCCAGGGACCACTTAGTGTAAGTGTTGGGCCCATTAAGAGCCCATGTGATGGGCTTAGGGGGTTAACTGTCCATAACAGTGAATTCGGCCAGACCTTATAATAGAGGTCGGGCTGAACCCATGTGGCTGATGTGTAGATCAATGTTTAGGTCCCACGCATACAAAAAAACCTAATTGGGCAGCAGTTTGAGAGGCTAATGAGCATATAAGACTTATTGGGCCTAAAGCCCATTTCAAACTGGTTTAGTTAGACTAATTAAAGAGGGGTGGATCTGGGATTTGGATCAACAGATATAAGGTTTTACCCATCCACTCAGAGAGTCTAGGTCCAAATAGAGATTTGGATCTGGAAACCTCCTAATGAGATTAGGAGAGAGCTAATCTAATTTGCAGATAAGATAAGGATTTATCCTTATCACTTAAAAAGAGTCCAGATTCAAATAAGGATTTGAATCAGGAAACTCTTAATGGGATTAGGAGCTGATCTCTTTAAGTCTATAAAAGGAGGAGGGGGCGAACCATTCAAAACATCAAAAAAAAAACAACTCATCCCCAGAGATTAGATCTCAGATCACAGAGAGAGAAGACAATTACAGTGTGACTGTGCCATCTTCTCCTTACGTTCTCCTCTAGTAGCCGCCAACTGCTAGTTCAATCTTCAGTTTTATAGGAGTGATCAAGAGTAATTCTTGATATCAGTCTTTGGAGAAAGGCTGATTTGAAGTCGTGCTCACTACCTCCATCTAATCCTTGTTGAAGGGTTTGGTTTTTGGGAAAAACACTATTGATTCTGCTCCACCCTACACTGTGTCATCTTCAGTGGGAGCAGTCTTTGGAGACTTCTTTGGGTGTGAACACCTTCATTGGTGGATATTGTTTCTTCGTATCAGGTATATCCCTCTCCTACCTTTTGGTTTCAGATCTGGTTCGGTTTTTTGTTCAAGATTGATCATTGAAAATGCATATTTTCTAAAACAGGGAATGTGATTCCTATATGGGAGAGAGAGAAATTTTTGAAATTTCGCCCAACCTACGTGCAGGGTTTGGCCATCCATATGATGGATCCCTCATCCCTTCAGATGCTGATTCAACAAATACACTATATGAGAACTGGTTTAGAATGCTAAATGGACAATAAACATACTATAGTATTGGAGTTAACAATATGAAAAAAGGTTCACAACTGTTCGTGAAAACATAGGAGATAGAGATAGAGAGAGAGATGAGGGTGTGTGGCATGGGGGGTTGGGCGTGCAAGGTGGGGGTGAGGGGGCGCTACATGCGATAAGGGGTGGGTTGCTAGGCATTTCGTCGAATAGATGCTAGTCAGTGACTGCATATATTCAAAAACCCACCGTCGTTCTCCTCTCTTCTCCCCTAAACCGTAGTGCCATTGGTCACCGCCGTTATCCTCCCCTACATGGCAGTTCCAAAATGCACCACCGGTTACAAATGGGTTACTAACGGTGGTGCCAACGCTACAAGTTACAACAACACAAACGCTGCAAGAAACCACGACACTGTCATCGTTCTGTAAGAGGATGTCGATGACGAGCCCTACTTTAAGAAAACGTCCATGTAGACCGACGGTGTTGGCACTGACAAACAACGGTCCAGTGCTGGTGACGAGCAAGAGGACGTCAGTGAGCCCTACACCACAATTCCAGTGCTGGTGACAAGTAACGATCGAAACGATCTAGTGCTGATAGAGCCAGCGAGCCTGAAATAAATTTAAAGGGTATTTTTGACCGTAAAAGGGTATTTTGGGAATAATGGACAACATTATCAATCACGAAGTGTCACATGCAAACGGGACCCGATGGTTGACTAACGACAGGGGAGGATTTGGACAATGTTAGAAAACTTAAGGGTACCGCAAGACAATATCTAAACAATAAGGATACCACTTGTCAATTTCGTGAATAGTAGGGGTAGTTTAAGAGATTTACCCTTGAGAAAATCATGTTGCATTGGCATGTCGTTTTCTCAACAAACATATTTTTTCATTTTTTTTTTGTTTGGAATTATTGCTCTACCATATAGGTGTTTTTCAATGTCACATTACCATATTGTTGCTACCAACGATAAAAATGATAAAACACCAAAAAAGGGTATTTTCGAAAAAAAAAAATGTATAACCAAACATCGCGTGATCTGAAAAAACAAAATTCAAACATGGCACTGATGTGGTGCCATTTTTCAAGAAAACGACATTGATTCCAAACATTGGTGCAAAATAACTGTTTTAAAACCAAAAACATGATTTTCCAGTGAAGCTTCTTTTAATGGCTCTTCCAAAGGAGCTCTATCAAATCTTCATCCCTCCCAAATGGATCCTTTCGAGGTTGGCTTGATGCTTGAACGCACCCATAATCAGCCCGAAAAAGGGTAAATTGCAGATTTTTACATTGTACTTTTAGGGCAAGTCTCTCTTTAGTATCCATGCTTCAAAATATGCCACTAAAGTACCTTAAATTTTGAAAACTACCAATTTAGTCCATTAACTAACATTAAATGGCATGTGAAAAAACACAAATGCCCTTAGAGTTCTGAATAGGCAAGAGAAGCATAATTTTGAAATGGGCAAAATAGTCATGTTTAAATCACTTTTTATTGCAATTGGACACCACTATTACTCACTTTATATCCTAATCTTTATGCTGGAGAATCAGTGCTTCCTCCCGGAGGAAAAGCTATACAAAAAAAATATTATGAAAGAAGATAATGTTGTTACCGGAAAAGAGTGCTTTAGATTGCCGTTGTTGCAATCCCTTTTTCCAATTATTCAATCCATAACAAAGGGGGTTTGGGGGTTTTAGACTATTGTTGCAAGAGAAGACAAGTAATTCTTGTCATGGCCAAGAGAATCAAGGTAAAATGGTATCCAAATATTAAATAAGATAGTTTTAAAAATTTAAGTGGCACAAATAGTCACATGATACATTTTACACTTAAAAAATTTTAAGTCGCACATGTGACAAAAATATTGTAACTCAGCACTGCAGATGCAAAACTCAATTTTAGGGGAAAATCTATGATGTGGAAAAGATATGGTATGGGAAGAGTTTTGACCAATCAAAACCCACCCATGAATTTGGATAAATAACATCTGATTGGCTATCACGTTTATGATTCCAGTTGACTAGTCAGAAGTTTTTCAGATATCATATCTTTTCCATATCATAGTCGAACCCCATAGTAAAAGGTTAAAACAACAATTTTTATGGCTTCTCAATTGGAGACCGGATCTGCTCCTTACACAGTGCACTTCATACCGATCTCACAGGCATATCCCACCATATATCGGAAATTTCTCCCATACTTATATGTTATTGTTCATAAGAGATCATAAATGTTTTCAATGCACAGTGGGATGTGCTGTGAGATTGATGTGAGGCATGTTCTTTGAGGAGTAGATCCGGTCTCTCCCAATTCCACTTTGTCCCATTGTAGGAGAAAGTACTTCACATCATTTATAATAAGGGCAAATTTCTTAAACTAAACTTATGATTTAGCTAATTGACTTTAGAGTACCCCTAAGTTTACTAACAATTGTCTAAAATCTCTCCCATCGGCCCTAACTTCCTACCATATTCCGTCATGTGATCGATACTTTTATTCAAAAATTCTGATAATACCCTTTTGGCCTTTTTATCGTTTTTGTAGTGATTTTTGGGAGAAAGTCTCCCTGCCCGGAGTAAATAGTGATGTTCTTCATCTCTCTCTCTCTCTCTCTCTATTTCTGTCCCTCTCTGCAACTGCTTCTGAGTTTGTTTTCGTTCCCAAATCATTGAAAACTCTAATCTTTTTGATGGAAAATATGTCAGGAAAAGGCGAAAGGTCCTATTACGTCCTCAGCTCTGAACACCAAAATGGATAAGAAGAAACACGTCTTTCGCTCTGGAGTGCCTTACTGCATGCAGAAGTCTTGGAACTGGAACTGGCAGACAATGCCAGAAAGGATCTGAAGGTTAAATGTATTACACCAAGGCATCTGCAGCTTGCAATTTGAGGGGATGAAGAACTTGATGATATACTGATCAAAGGAACTATAGCTGGTGGAGGTACAATTCCTCACATCCACAAGTCCCTGATCAACACATCCTCCAAAGACTATAAATTTGCAGATTGACTGAACTCCTTTTCTGCTGTTGAGGCTTCTCAATCCTGAGAACCATTAATCACCACTGACCCTCCCATGTATAAGTGTAATACGAGCTGTACCTCCCAATCAGAAATAAACACGTCAACCATCCTTTGTACATGTACGGGCTGAGAGCTTACAATTACAATAGCTCCATACACATCAGCTACGACACCACCTTTTCAGACAAGATCGGTTGACAGGGCAGCAAAGGTCTAGGCAGGAAGAGGATGAGGAGGCAGCGAGGGATTTCTGACAGCGATCTTGGTGGAGGAAACTTGTTACTATCTAGCTCCTTGAGGCAAAGAGTGTCACTGACCCAAAATCAATGGCCCTCTTCAGCTCTTTCAAACTCCCTGCATCTTTAAGAAGAAAAACAGAGCCGATAAAGGGTAACAAAGGTTGTATCTCATCTCACTACAGTTTAATTTATAGGGTATAAGATTGCCTGTGAAGATGACTTACTGCATAATAGATTTTTGCCATTATAATAAAACAGTACCGGCATCATAGATTTTTATTGAAAGATGATATATAGAAGACAAAGATGATGAAAACGGCTGGATAATTCATCTTATCTATCCAAATTAATCTAATTAGGAAATTAAGCAATCCAGTCAAATCTTAATTAATTTATTTTTCCTATCTACATCTCTTCACTCTCGAGTCTCCTGAGAGCAAATTAAGAAGAAGATGTAGCTAGCGCCTAGCGGGTAGCGGCAGAACTTGAGGGATGAGGGTTGATGTGCATCACGTACGAATCACTAGCTAATTAATTATAATTGATAATCAGCGCTTAATTAATTAAAGCCTTCAGGTCGCGTATGAAAGCATCAGTGTAGGAGCGTTGCAAGCTTTCCTCCAACAAGAAGCTCCTCCACTTGGCGTGGTTGGCCTTCACTTGTCTCCCGATGTGGCTGTCATCGTCCATCACCAGTTTCACAGCCCTGCACACGCTCTCTCTTGTGAACCACCCGTCGTCCTCTCTCCTCTCCACCTCCACCGCCACCTTCATACCTCTGGCCAACAGTTTGGCGTTCTTGATCTGGTCTCCGTAATTGGGGAGCAGCACCATCTGACAATTGCTCACTAAAGACTCCCACATGGATCCATACCCACAGTGGCTGACAAAGCATCCCACCGACAGGTGACTCAGTATCTGTTGCTGAGGAACCCATCCCCCGTAAACCACTCCTCTTCCTTCCACCCTCTCCCTGAACCCATCCGGCAATGCCTCCTCCACCGTCCATGCTCCGTGTGGTGGTTTCAGAGCCACTAAGAAGGGCAATCCTGTCAGCTCAAGCCCCAAAACCAGCTCCTGAACCTTCTCCTTTGTAAAGACGCATTCGCTTCCGAATGCACAGTACACCACCGACCCCGCCTTGAAGTTGCCAAGCCGCCACTTAGATGACCAGGTGCACCAATGCTCATCATCGTCCAATACTGTGGTCGATTTCTCTTTCTCAGGCAGGATGGGGCCCGTCAGGAGTACTGGCTTCCCATATTGGCTACCCATGTAATCGCAGTATGGGCCTTCCATCTCTCTATAAGTTCTGAAGCATAAAGCATCGCACTCTCTCATGGAGGTCGTCTGCCTATCGTAGAATGTCAATCCAGTTGCAGTTCTGGAAAACTTCTGGAAAGCGAATAACAAACTTCGACTCTCGTGGCGGCAAAGCCGTATCGGCGAATCAGGCGGGTAGCCCGGTGGAGGTTGCATTAGCTCCTCTTCCGTTAACTGTTCGATCCCGTCAGGCTTGCGTGCGGGGACTAAGAGGTAAGAAGTGGAGGCAGGGCTAATGACGCAGTAAAGAATGGACTTGATGCCCAGTTGCCGAGCCAAGGGAGGAAGCCAGTAGGAGAAGTCGAAGAAAACAAAGTCAGGCTTGATATTTCGTAGAGCAGCTTCTACCTGATCCTTGGTGAGATTCATGGCGTCTACGAGGAGGGGCATAATGGGGCGAGACACGTCGGCAGTGGTCTCGGCGGTAGGGGGGAGGCCGTCGACGGGAGGGATAGCAATTGGGATGAAGCGGATGAGATCGGGGTAGCGGTTCAAATGCTGCAATTTGGACTGGGTTTTGGGGGGCAAGAGGAAGGAGACTCGGTGGCCGTTTTCTGCCAACTTGTTGGATAGGTGGAGGAATGGAACGATGTGGCCAATGGCAAACCAAGGGTACATGGCTGCATGAAATGTTGATCTCTCATTCCCACTCTCACTCTCAGTGCTGCACATCTTTAACTAATTTGCTCGACCGGAGCAACCAGCAGCCAGCAGTAAAGCTATTCTTAGCTATGCTCTTTTTCGGATCCCTCAGCCCTATAATATAATAATATGGTCCTCGCTGATGCCGTTGCCATGCTGCAAAATGAAGTTCAACCGTTTCAAAGGAGGGAAAATTATTATTTTAGTCGTATAGCCATAAAGAGGATGTAGTAGGCGCACTAAAGGCTTTAATTAATTGGGTCTGAATGACGAGTTTTGAAAAATAACAATTGATCATTTTAACCTTCGATACGAAATGTTTATTTGACTAATTAACAATTAATTAAATGAATATAAAATAACTTATAAATAGTAAAATTGATAAAAACATAAATAATTAAATACTTTTAAAGAAGTTAAAAATAATTATGTACATTAGTAAATGTATACGTATATGGCAGTTTCAAATGATCGATGATGATAATAATATTTTAGTATTTTTATTACAATTCACTGTTGGATATATTGTCTTTTAACTCAAAGACCTAAATTCAACTGTTCTTGTATTTTCTATCAATGTTTTCAATATGTGGTTGAACCATAGATTTGGATTTATTAATTTGTCAATTGGACACATTTTTTGAGCATGTTTTAACCTAAATCACTTTATTGCAAAAAATAAATAAATAAATAAAATCATTGACTTGGTCAGCAACCAAATGACCTTATTAGTTGAATCACTATTCTATTTAACTAGGAAAATGGGTTATGGTTAAGACATTAATTCTTTTTCTTTTTTGTATTTTTAGCCATTTCTATCTTTACTAACAATAATTCATATTTTTTCAAACATATTTTTGTTTAATATAAAGAATATATAATATTAATGCATGTTCAAATTTTTCTATAAAATTTATACAAAATCTATATTTTTATCTTTATTATTTAAATTATGGCATAATGCAAATTACTTATTTATTAGGAGGAATTGAAATTCTAATATATTATTTGTATATTGGTTTTTAATATTGTGGTCAAATCGATTGATTAGATTGATCAATCCACCACCCAATTCAAGATTGTAAGTCCATTTACCACAAAACCACTTGCCTACAATGACCTTTCTATTTAAATTGTTGAACCATTTGACATGGTTAGTGAAGTCATGTGTTATACATTAATGCTCTTTATTTTTTTCCTCCTAATTTTTATCCCATTTCCATCATTAATGAAAATAATTCTCATTTATCACATTGTTTTATATAGTGAATATATAATATTATAGATTGTGTTCAAATTTATCTACAAATTTTTACATTTTCTAGAATTTTATGTATTTCATTATTTAATTATATCGTCATATGTTGATTCATTTGGCATGGACAGTCGAACTACTAACCCACCACTTGGATGGAAAAAATATATTTTTTTTTCTTTTTATTGATTTTAAATCATGTAATCCAATTTCATCATTAATAAAAGTTATTATTATTTTCTTTTTTTTTGTTTAATATGATGAATATATAACATTAGAACCATATCAAAATGTTGTATACAAAGCTTATATTTTTCTTTGATTTTTTATATATTAATATTTATTACTTAGTTATGACATCACAGATTGACCCATTTGGCCAAGAAGGTTAGATCAGTGGCGTACCATCTAGATATGAAAATGTTTTCATTTTCAAACTAGTTTTAAAATTTGCATTTTATTTATATCATTGATAAAATAATTATTGTATATCATACTTTTTTTTTCTAATTAATATATAATATTATAGATGTGCCCAAAATTGTTTCATGTATTTTTTGTATTATTCTATTTAAAAATATTATTTTTAGATATACAATATAGGTTGACCCATTTGACTTGAAAGGTTGAATCATTAACCCACCCCTACACAGGAAAATGGTTTTAGTTTTAAGTTGTATATTCCATGTTCAACATTAACAAAATTATGTCTATTCTGTCATACTTATTTGTTTTAATATGACAAATATACAATAATAGAAACCTTTTTGATTTTTATCAAATTTTCATTATTTCTATTTTTTGTATTTTTTATATTTCTAATTGGTTAATACTAATTACATAATTATCTAATTATTAATGAAATAATATTTAGAAATTATTATTATTTTATTAATTATATATATATTATTTAAATACCTATTTAATTAATTTAATATCTAATAATGATTATTTTTTTATTAATTCAGTTAATTAATAATTGATTAAGATATAATTATTAACTATTAATAAAAATTTTAATTTATAATATTAATTAGATATTAACAACTAATTATTATTTTAATTATTGATTGTTAATGATAATTATTAATTCTTATCAATAATTTAGTATTTAATTCATAATTATATAATGAATTAATAATTAATTATAAGAATGATTAGTAATAATTATAAATTATAAATGATTAATTTATTACTTTAACTAATAATTATGTAATAATCTATAGCCCTTATTATAGGTGCAAAGCCTGGCCTAGAGCTGACCACACCTACCCCCTCCCAACAAATATTATATATTGTTACCAATGCAATTCACATGCAAGTAAGAAGAAATTATTTTTCCAAGCCAATTTACGGCTCAATTCTAGTCTATCTCTTTAGTTTTCTCTCTTTTATCTTTGGAGGCTGTTTGTGACAACTTATTTAATAAAAGTTTTGTATGGAATTTATCTTAAAAAATGAAAAAAGTGGTGGATAAATGTTTTTTAGTGTTGTTTGACAGCTAGGCAACGTTAAATGTCGACACCATAAAAGCAAAATAATAAAAAAAAGATTTACCAAACAGAATTTCAAAGTAAGGGAGAAGTACCAATCAGCCTAGATCAGAATTTACTAGGCCCAAAGTACAGGGGGAATGCATTCTGACCGTGAATTAATGCCAAATTCATGGGCAGGATGTGGTTTATAAGAGGGGAGAGGGTTAGTTGTAGGGGGCTGGAATTCAGAATTCTGCATCGTGTGTTTCCGTAGTTTTTCCTTCAAATTAATGCTTATATAAGAATGAACTAGTGTCGTTTTACAAATAAATGGCAACGGAACCATAACACCATCTGGTCACCACAGAATGTCTACAATCGTACCATTAAAATCACGCTGCATTTCTACAATGTTGATAGGGGCATTTTAACTGAAAAAAAGGAGATAAGTAAAGCCAAATGCAGCCTTAAAGTAGCTTGCGGAACTTACAGTGGAATGCGTCATTTATTATTTTGAGGGTCTCACCAACTACCATTACATATCAATCATTTTAGTCGGAGTTATTGTGTATGCACCCGTCGCATCCCATTTAGATTGTGTTTGGTGAATTTACTTTAATTTTGCCAGCTGTTGTTATCCAGAATCATGAGATTAAATGTATTGCTGTGGCCCATTTTAATTTAAAATTTTAAGTTATTAAGTAAATTTCCTGAATAGGTTTTTATTCTCTAACACGTTACTTTACACAAAAGCATATTTATTCAATGCCTGACCATTACATTGTAATGGAGTTTAACTTAATTTGGGGTCAAAGAGTTGTAATGGGGTATTGTAGTAGTTTCAATCTAATACAATTCATTTTAATTTGGAGGCTTTTGGGTTTCCTCATAATAACTCAGTCTACGTTGCTTTTTTCTCTCTAAGCTAAGAGAGTAACGTGATACTATTGGGCTTAGAGCATGAACAAATGACAAGCATAGGCCCAGTCATATCTCATGCTGAAATTTAATTAATTATAATGGAGATAATGAGGATCAAATGCTAGATCACTTGATCAAACAGCCTCGGTATCATCGCAAAAACCTTGAAAAGGCCTAGCTAGATATACCTAGGGTGACAGGATCTACTAGGCACATACTCTGAGTGCATCCTAAGGTTGTGTTTGGTACCATTATTGTTTCTACCTGAAATGTTTTGGGTTAGGTGCACACACACATATACACACAACAGTAAGCTTAGGTAGGGAGAGAGAGGGAGATAGTGTTTGTTGAATTGATGAAAGTGATAGGTAACTTGCTTACCCAATTTGGCAGCTAGAGGGGTAATGCTTACCCAGGTAGGAATGGCAACAGGGCGGGTTTGGAGAGGGTTTTGTAAATTCTTGGACCTACCCGCCTCCCTAAACCTTCCAACCCATACCTTCCTTAAAACTCGTAGCAAGTTGGATTTTTAGAAACCAAACCCTCCCTGCACATGAAAATGTAAAACCTGCCCCCACATTTGAGGGTGGGGTGTAGGGGTGGCAACGAGTCGAGCTTTTCACAATCTGCTCGAGTTTGGCTCGTGAAACTCTAGTTTGAACTTGAGCCCAATTCATTGGCTCGATTATGAAACGAGCCAAGCTTGAACCTACTAGAGCTAGGCTCGTAAGGCTCGCGAGCCAACTCGAATATATATGCTCGAACTCGGCTCGGCTCAGTTCCAACCGAGATCGAGCCCAATTCACTAGCTCGATTATGAAACGAGTCGAGATTGAACCTAATATAACTCGGCTCGTAAGGCTCGCAATAACCTTTAACTACGGTTTGTATGTTGCCCTTAGCTAGATGTTCTATAATGTGATGACCTTTAACTACGGATTTTGAAGGTGGTTGTAGCTATACCACAATAAAAGTAGAGAAGAAAAATACCTATAGATATGGTTTCTATAATATCTATAACTAAATGTTATCGCCCATATTAACCTTTAGCTACGGATTTTGAAGGCATTTGTTGCAAAAGCCAAGATATAGTGGCAGTATAGATCATAGAACTGCTACTATAACTATACCCCAACCATTGTTGCTAACTTATGGTGGTATTTTTTTTTTTTTTTGAGACCTATAGTGGCAATTATGATCGCTTCTATAGGTTATGTTTTTAAGAAATATTATATATTTGTTCAAAATTTTAAATACAAAAACCTAAATCATTTCTTATCTATCTATCTATCACCCCCTAAAGTTGATGTTTATATGTAGAAAAATGTTATGTACATAAGTTTCTTGAAATGTAAATACCGAAAAAAATCTCGAAATGTAACATTTGTCACATATCAATTGGG